ATTAAAGCATTTTTAAAGGACCGTTTTTCGTGGGCAGATCGAATTCCTGCGAGATGCTTATTTGAAAGGATAATGCTTTGAAAGGAAAATGTTTCGGCAATTAATTCTAATAATTTTGATGAGGCGAAATGAACCAGCTTTTCGCCGACAAATTTTTAGATTCTTGTAATCACAATTTTCTAATTTCCTCGAAAAATCTTGCGTCAGAAAAACACGGAATTTTTTTTTAACGAATGATATACTGTAAGCAGGAATAATTTCGATTGCCAAGACTACGCATTTGCGTAGGGTTTTATTTATGCCATAGCTGGTATTTTCCATGATGACGATTCAAGTTCGAATGAGTGAAAAAATCCAGTTGAAGGGAAGCAATTTTCAGATCAAATTGTTCACGCATTTTCAAAATCCCGCTTATTCCTATTCACCGTTTCGACTCATAATGTACTGTACAGTATTTAATTTTGGGGTCGTTTCTGGTGATGAGGACAACCCTTGAAAATCAGCCAAAAATGTTTAAACTTATTTCCCAAATCTTTAATGTAGATGTCGCACCTAACATCCAACAGCAGGATCCTCGATATGTTTCATATCGTGAATGAACGTGATTTTTTGTGGTTTCGGTCTGCTCTGCTGATCGCGTGAATTTTCGGAAGATTTTCCCAGTGCAGTTCTAAAGAAGAAGAGAGAAATGGCTGACATGTATTCGTAACCCTTTCTTAGAAATTTATCCGACAAAATGAGTCACTTACAAAGAGCTGTTATCTTGTTGCGGTGGTTGTGATGCGTCAAATAGCTGCTGCTTCCCTTGGACTTCCTCCTTGGTTCGTCAGTTACGATAATTATTGGCAATTCCTTGACTTGAAATTTCTGGGAAATGAGAAACGAAAAACCACAGCACTTAGTCCATATTTTCTCAAAAAACTTCAATATTTTACTGATAGGAGGAGAATGATTTCAAAATTGTTTCGCAGTACCTTCTTCTCAACGTTCTTGTCAGGCGGACTTATTTGCTTCCTCGCCTTATTATGGAGGCCTGCCAGCATTGCCAAAGGGCTGCAGGAACCCTGAAAATATTCATTGAATCCATGAAAGAAGAATAAATTTATTACTCTTTCGGATACTGAATGCTAGACTTTCTCAGCAAAATACTCGTATCATGCTCATATGAAGGCCGAGAATTACTGTACTTCGTAACTTCGTTGCCAACCCGAAAATATAGTGTTGCAGCTGCAGAGGAGAGGTTTATAGTGGCCTAAAAATTTGTAAAAAAAAAAATTTAATCCTGTTTACCTGAAAATCTACGACATTTATAAAAACGTTATTGAACGTTCAGCAAGCTTCGTTAAATTGATTTTGAACAGTTTTCATCATGTTGTTACTATTGTTGTGGTTTATTCTGGGTTCATATAATAAAAACCCGCGTCATAATACAGTATTAAAAACGTTAAGTAGAAAGAATTTATTTTGTTGCACAAAAAGCACAAAAAAAAAGAAATTGAATTCGGATCGCTTTTCAGACTAAATTCAGTGCTCTCGCTGCTTTCTTCGTTTCGATTATTCTTTGTCGTCCACATGGTCAATGTCAATAATAAACGCGCGTATAAATGTTTAAATTTTAATAATGCATATCAATCACATTTTAAATGTTGATTCGTAGCTTCAGGCTTAGCTTGTGCTGTAATGGGAATGATTATTTTATTACTACAGTAATTTTTTTCATATTGAGGGCGCATTTTTTTAAAGTTTAGGCATAGACAATAAACATATTCGATAAATGGTCTCGCGTGCTGTGCAATTACTGTACACTTGTACAGTATATAATCGATCGGAATTTTTTTTCTGGACAGAACAACTATCTATCATTGCTTTAGAATAATGACACTATAATTGTGTTTTTTCTGTATAATCATTGTTTACCTCTAGTTTCGCTCGCCACCAAGAATGCGGATTGAAGCAACATTCAATCCAATCGTCGTCGTCGTTTTCATTGGAAGAATCCAGGAGATCGTGAACAAACAACTCGAGGCTTTCGTAACTTTTTTCTGAAACCAGCCGATGCTTTTCAGAACTCGATTCGCTCCCAGAAAGATGAGTTTCCGTCTGGCCGCTGCTCAATTTCTATTTTAAACGAGAATAAAAATTGAAACATTAAAACCCGACCCTTCATATTCATGCTGTAAAATGAGCCAATAAAAAATAAAAAGGGTGATATCTTTTCGAACAGCGCGAAAAAAACCTGAGAAAGAATTTCATTTCGTACCTAATTTATATTTGAAAATGGGTCAGGGAATTAAAATTAGTCATCACAATTTTGGTTTATTAAATGGCAAAATCAAAGTCCCTCTTTATTCTCACATTTTTAACCCACTTGCTGCTGGGTTTAATTTTTATTCACCGTCTTTTCTCTAATATTTTCTAGAAAAAATTATTTTCGATGTCCAAAGCTGAACCGAATCGGATCTAAATTTGTGGATTTTCTGATTGTTTTCAACATATGAGCACTAATCTCATACAGTACTAACACAGTAAACATTCAGACAATTCACAAAATGTGGAAAAATTATTAATTTCTGAAACCTTTGTTCATTTCTTATGATCGATGATTATTCCAATATGAAGTTGTCCAATACAAGTCAACATTTCCGTCCAATTCTCGTCAAACTTTTTTTTAATTCGCACTGAACTTACACATTTTTATAAAATTGCGAAGAAAGAAATGAGTAACTAAAACAGAACTTGAGAATTATTTTATTTTATTCCTCATATGCAGTTTACAGCAGGGTTCCACAACCTTTTTGGCCCGCGGACCGGAAAATTTCAATAAAATTGTACGCAGAATGCAAATTTTCAACAAAATTTCTGCAGACCAGCAATGTTTCATAAAATTGTTTCAGACTTGAAAAAGTTTTGCTTGAAAGACTTGACGGCAGGTATTTAGAAAGTTTCTGTTTTTTTCAGTTAAGAGTCAACGAAGCAGCTATTTTGGAGTATATTCAAAAAATTAGAAAAGTGGGCTTGAAGAAAGCTTTCTCAGAATGAAAAATTAAAATAATTTAATTCATCATGTGAAAATGTGTCTGAATAAGTGCTGATAGGAGGAAAGCCAACATTCATTTTTCATGAGATATTTTTAACTGCCATTGTCTTGCCAAAATTTTAGATGAATATAATGTTATCTCCTTCATTGCTACTTTTGATCAATGCCTGAGAAAATGTCCCGCGGACGGGCAAAAAAGTTCTGCGGGCTGGCGCCGGTCCGCGAGGAACACTGGTTTATTGTACAGTACTTGAAAGAAAAGGAAAAGAACCCAGAAATAAAGTAACTCACGTTTGCGATGGGTTCTCCTTCATCGACTGAGATTTTCACGAAGGCTTTTTGAATGTCGTAATGCACAGCGGGATCCTTTGTTACTTCGATCAGTTTGTAAAAACTTTCACTGGCGGAAGAACTGCAAATTAAATCAGAAAAGATATAAAAAAAAGAGCTCGATCAATCCACTTTTTTCATCGTCGGGGATATAAAAAAAATTATCAGAGTCATGGTCTATGTACAATACTCTATATACTGTAGTAGAATAATGTTCTCGATTCGAAAGTTTTACAATAGATTCATCTCACGCGTAACGATCGAGCTGAAATTTGTTTTTATCTTTGGCTCAACTGTTTGATTACTGTGTAGCAGGTTACAGGTTACGGGCATCTTTTGTACAACCATCAGAACCGTCAGTTTTTATCTGATTCTTGAGTACTCGATAGAATCTAGAGATTTTTTCTGAATTATATTCCTCACCGAATGTGTTGATACTCTTGATCTATCCTGCAGCTCATGTTCAGCTTTCCGGATGTCAAATCGGAGCGCCAAAAAGTTATTCTTTTTATCTCTTTTGAAATTCTGACAGATTTACCAAATACAGTACAGCGACAAAATGGATCAAGTTTCTGAATGAGAAAGACTGCTGAAACATCCGGCTTATATGCGCAGAAAGGTATTGAATCTAGAATAGTACGATAAAACCGCGCATGCGTTACATATGCTGAGAATTCTATAACATATAATATTGTAATAAGAAAATGAAGACGTATTATTCAAGAGTATAATTGACGCTTGCTTTTGAAAAAGTATATTTCACCAGCTGCGACTGAGAGAATGTATTTGCAGTTAACTAGGAAGGGAATCCATGGATTGACGTTAATTTGACGTTTGTCAGCGATTACGGTAGATCGATTTTAATAATGCTGTCAATNTACCCCGCTTAAGGGTAGATTAACTCTGCTCCTTTCAATTTAGCTTGACAAATCTGTGAGCATGTAGAATTTTTTTATTGGATTATTATATTCGTAATAGCTTCGATAATTGGATGTCAGATTTCTCGAAAGGTGAAATAATTGTAAATTTCGAATCAATGAACCAGGATGATGCCCCGGTAGAACGTATATTTTTACTGCACGGTATGAGACGTTCATAGCGATCTTCTGACGCAAGTACGGTAATGCACAGTAATCTTGGATTCCCGCGTACGGAAGACTATTCCAGCAGCATGTTATCGGTCTTCTCAGTCCGTCAATTCTGCTTGTGTCGCCAGAAAACTCATCTTCAGCCTGAAAGTTGCGGAGGCTGATTCGTTGCGCCTCTTGAATTTTGAAGTCGGGTGCATTATTGCGTTGTCGACGCGGTGAAACAGTGTGCAGTGCATAGATTAGGCTTGGCCGAAGCGCGAGTTCTCACTGAGTAGTTGTACCGATGGAAGTGTATTCAGAACTGCTTAACCTACTACGAAGTAATATCTGTGCTGGGACTTCCTGCTTGTGAAAATATTTATCATGAAGACAAACAACGTCATTTGTATCAAATCATGTGATGCATTTAAAGCATGAATTTATTCGGGCATCCGTGACCTTGACTGGATGTTTTAGTGCAGAAACTCTCAGCATGGCGTGACATGCGGATGTGCTTCTTCGGGAAGCAATTGTTTGCATCTGTTTGATCGTGTCTCGATGTGTCTTTGTGATTTTTAGATATGTACAATAGTCCTTACAAACCTGTGCCGCCTCCTAAACCTCTTGGTGGGAATGCGCCTCCGTATCGCGTTCCTCCTCCGTTTCACATCCCCGGAACGCCTGGAAGACATGAGCGTCACTTCGTAGATCCTCAAATTCCTCCATCCAATGGGTATCCGTCAATGGTGGCAGCCGCACCTACGGCCCTGCCTCAAGAATATGATCTCCGTTCTGAGCAGTATCACACGCATTCCTCAAAGTTTCCTGTGAGTACCGTACTGTTTTGATTAAAATTTGCAATTGACCCATGCTCGGCGTTCCTGAAACGTTTTATGCACGTATCTTTCCAGGTGGAGCGTGTTGTTGGCGTCAGTGAGCGTGACAAAGAGACATTGGATGAATCTCGCTTTCGGAATAAAGCACCCGCTGTAGGTGAATCGCCTCGTTATCCTGGGAGCAATCGGAATTCTTGGCGTGGTCCGCCGCCCCTTCATCCTGGTGAACCTGTCAGAGCTCCTGTTCCGGCATGGACTCGAGAAACGCATCACGAGGTTTCTAAAAGTTCTAATGTATAAGAAATTAGATGATCCAATCATCAACCGAATATCCAAATGATTTTTGTTTTGCTCGTAACACTGAGTGGCACGAACCGTATGTAATTGAAGACATCAAATGTGATCAACGTAAGTTGAAATTGTAAAAATTCTTAGAACGCCAACCGAAAATACGAATGTTGGTTTTTTTCTCTTCAGGAATTCAAGGAATCTTCTTTCGTTTTTCGTGGTATACTTTAAAATGTTGTCTCCGAGCAATAATTATGGCTTGCATCGAATGAAAAAAACTACGCCTGGTTTCAAATACTGTACTGTATTTTTCATAATGGGAGTGAAACTTGTTTAACATGGTTTCTCTTGGGGTTTTCAGCACCATGCTTATTGGGAATTATCGCGCGTGAGACCGCCAGGAATGAATGGGGTACATGCACCTCCACCCTTGATGTACCATCCTCCGAACTTGCCGATGCGTCCATACCGTCAAGTTTTTGGTCCACAACCGCAGCAGCAAACGCCGGTAAGTACTGCAAATTTTACGCTGCATTTGGGGCAAAGTCTCGAGTGTTTTTCCCATTTTTTAGCCAAGACCGCAAGAAAGGGATCCACTGGTGAATCCCCCTCCTCAAACGGCAAACGGGATCGACAATCCAGCTCTAGAGGCAGAAAATCAGGTGTCTGAAGATTCAAAAGTATGAAAATCGTTCACATCTTTCAGGCTTGTATTGCGTAAAGAAGTTTTTTTTTAAATTTTACTGGTCAATCTACGCTTTACGTCTACAAGCGTGAATATTTCAGGAAAGTTGCAGAAGTATAACTGCCAGAGAAAAAATTCTAGCACACTACTGTACTAACATTAGATACATCAGGATCACGAGTGAGCGGCTATTGAGGAAAAGACCGGCTGTTTCATGCACAATTCAGTGAGATTTTTTTTTTAATCATCTGACCAATGAGAAATAAAAAGTTATCGTTCTCCTGAGTGTGCGACAAATTTCCTCCAATTTTCGCAGTTCCAGCCAAAGCGTTAGTCTTGAATGAGTCAAAGTTTTTCCACTCATGAGGCCCAATTATCCAGGAATTTTTCCTCTTCTTCAACATCGTTCCGCCGTCACTTTTTTTTTTATTCCAATTTTATGATTTTTTCCGGATTTATGCACTAGTGAACGAGTCTAGTTTGCTTGAAGCATTGTATTTTGTTGTAAAAGAATGTCGGAATTTTTTTTATCTTCTCTCGCAGGATGAGGGTGGGTTTGCTCCTTTAAAAGAAGACGAGGAAAAAACCACTTCGGAAAAGGCGAAGGAATTCGCAGGCAAAAAGTATTCCAAACTCAGAGGGATAATCTCAAAACTGAATCCTAGGAGAGAAGATCCTTCAAGTGACATGACTGGCAATACCACTCCGAAGCGCAATTCAGATGCAGGTCATGGTTATCAAACTCGCATTTTACCTGCAACACCTGGAAGCCGTGAAGATCTATATTCGCGTCCTTCGCACCGCTCGCAGCCGGGTTCATCCACAAAAGAACCCGTCAGTTTACCAGGGTCGTTGGAGGAGGTTGAGTTGCGACGTCGGGCCGAAACGAGCTTCAATACAAGCCAGGAGAGCTCAGAAGGGGCTGGATTTGAAGCTCGAGCTAAACCACAAGGTATACTCAATGTCAAATTTTCATTGCAAAAGTTATAAAACTGTTCATTACCAATGTAACTAGTCTTTAAAGGATATACCGTATAAATAAAAAGTTTACCGTATAAATAATAATATACCGTGTAAATGTAGAATTTCGAATCAAATCTGGAAAATCGGATGGAGAATCTTGAGAAGCAACGGCTTCATGGTTTGTTGGTTTATGGATTAAATCTTTTTCAAATTTTTCGTTAATCCAATCACTGCGTATTTTTAGAAATTGGGATGAATCTGATGAAATTCTTCAACTAAATGAGAAAATTCAACGTTTTAGTGTGATTTCGTAACATTTCCTGTTGCTTTTTCAAATGAAGCAGCGGTTATGAATTTGTTTCAAAGCCATTCGAAATTACTTTCTTGTATAGAAAATTTAAGGTGAATCTCCATTCGTAGTTTTTACTGGTAAGTACGGTATGGAGTTCAGGAAGGTGATTGTCTTCAAGAAATGGTGACCTTTCGGTTCACGTTGTACTCTCAAGAAAGAAGTGCGTTATTCCTTTAGAAATGTGTATCAAAATGCAAGGGGTATTTTGTTGTTTCGTTTTCAGTTCCCACTTCACGTGAGAAACTTGTAGAACAGGATCAGAACCCGCCGCCTTTACCTACTCAACCTCCACCAAAAGAAAGCCACTCAGAACCCATGGCCCGTCGAACTTTGAGGTGAATTGCAGCCCTTCTTGAAATTATTACATTCTGCATTGGTTGTGGTAATGAAACTGTTATTCTAATTTTGCAGCGACAAGAAGGCTCGTCCCGGGGGCATTTATGAATCTCCTGCAGGGCTGCGGCAAGAATTTGTTCAGTTTTCAAAGACAAGTGTTGCTTATTCAGGTAAGAGGATGTTCTTCGTTATATTCCTTCATACAAGTTTTCAACAATCCAATGCGGTAATTTTGAAAAGCCTTGTTCATCAGTTCGACATTCTTAGCATGCCTATTTTTCATGTCCGATGCATTGAATTGCGTTAAGAATTTTTTGGCTCACTTTGGTGTTATGTTCTCCGGATGGCGAGAAAAAATAAAACGAAAGGAAAGCAATTTTCACAGTAGCAGAAATCCCAAAAGAATTGCATCTCCAGTACAAAGCTGGTGATTTTCACTGAGGGCTATCAGCTTTTGCCGCATTTAATAAAGTTTTGAAAGTGAGGAGTATTCTATCTTGATGTTTTTGTAAAGCAGTACTGTACTGTGCTGATTCGGCATGTAGTCATTCCCATTACTCCGGTAAAGATGAAAATCTCCTCATGTAACTTCTGCTGTATTTCCAAATATTATCTCAGGACAGTTGTACGCATGGAAGAATCTCCCTCAAGACTTCTCTCGTTTATGTCTTTATTTTTTATGATTCTTTCAACGAATGCGAATTTTTCTGCACTCTTGTGTGATATGTGTCCTCAGGTGCACGCGATGTGTCGTCATTGTCATCCACACAATCAGAAGAAGAGGAGGAGGCAGAGCCGCGTCGTCGAGAAACCACCAATGTCCGGAATCAATTGGAGGAACTGGAGGAAATCTATTCCCAAGTCCTGCGTTTGCTCAAGGGGAAGGAGTCGCAACGCGTGAAACAATTGCGTCGCTTTGGCTCCGTGTCTTCCTTGCCGAGCTCTACGACGGGTCCACGCTACGGGATGCGTGAACGGCGTGAAGCCAAGCCTCGACGCGACGTGGGCAAGCGTTTTCAGCGGCTCGAGTCACACATTGTGACTCTGGCACGCAGTGTGGCGCAATTGTCGTCTGAGATGCGGAACCAACATGCGATGATACAAGAGATTGAGGGATTGAGGAGGGAAGTGGCGGAGATCGCAGCCTGGCGTGGCATCACTACCCGCAGTGCCGTGGCGGGTGCCAATGGCGGTAAGAACTGGTCTCATTATCAGTGCAACGGACATCTGGCGACAAATCCGAACCGAGTGAAGAAGCTCACAAAGTTTTTTGGGACCGAGCCGCCGTTGCTGCGGCAATTTTTGAAGAAACTCGGCTACGAGGTAACTTCAACTCGTGTTTTTCGCATCCCGACGTGTTCCAAATTTGCAATGCTTTCCAAAACCTTATTGCACTATGGACGAGGATGCAATTTACCGTATTTACTCGAGTACCATGCGCACCTTTTTCCCGTGAATGTAGGCGGAAAAATAGGGTGCGCTGTGGTACCCGGGGATGCATTTTTCAAGGAAAGAAATATATCCACGATATGCTTCTCACATTTTTTAAGGAAAAATCTCCTAAGCCAGTTCCCCTCACACGCATGTGAGTACATCTAAGAACGAAAGCGAAAGTCTCTTTGTCCAAGGGAATTAATGTTTTAAGAAATAAGTTTTAGGAATTCATCAGGTATCGAAGATGCATCAAGAAGTGAAGGAAGGGGAAAATATTCAAATTATTGAGGAAGCTGCCATATATTGCAAGTGCATTATAACTGCTCCTGCGGGCAATGAACGGCAGGAAAGACAAAATACTGTATCAGTGGGGAAAATGAATCCACACATACAAAAAAAGATTTCACAATTTTAAATTTATAAAAATAATTGTCGTGTTTGTCTTACTTCAGGGCATGTGGTACTCAAGTAAATACGGCAAGTTATGTGTTAGATTGGAATATCTGGGAATAAGTATTGATGTTATCTACGCGAAATGGAAATGCTGGTCGTACAATTTATGAAACCTACTCGTTTAATGAACCTCACTGGAATGAAATGGCTGTGAATGGTAATTGCATGAAATTCCGTATCCCTCGGTAAACAGTATTTGGATATCTATTTATGGTATGATTCTTCACCAAATACTGTACTTGACGTGTGTGTGAAATTGTCGAATTACCTTCCACTAGAAATACGCAACGGCATTTGAAAACGAGAAAATCGGCATGATGGAGCTTCCGTACTTGACTGAAGCGCGTTTGGAGAAACTCGGCATTCCCCTGGGTCCTCGTGTGCGTATTCTTCAGGAAGCTCAATCTGGATTCACAACTGACAAGTACAACATCTACATAGTGTAAAAAGTAGAAATGGAAAAAGAGGGAAAAAACAATGCTCTCTACGTGTGTTCCGCCCACGGAAATATTTTGCACAGTATTAGCTGTTAGATCTGCACAAAAAAAAGCGAACAAGCACTTCGGTCAGTTGGCGGCATTTTTCTTGATTTTGATGAAGTGGGTGTGGAAAGAAGTGAACGTTTTCAATGAACTGCTCAATATTTCGAGTGATCGTCATTTTTTCTTATTGCTGTCCTGTTTCGTCGGTGTTATTATGGCTGTAAAGAGATGATCTGAGCAACGAACAGCAACTAACTGTGGTTATTTTTTGTTTCTGTTTCCAATGTGGATATAAAAAAAAGTCTTCCAAATAGTTCGGGATATTTTTCAGCCAAAGGATGTGTGCTGGATCGAATATACGTTTTGTTTGCGGGTTTCGAAGAGAAGTAAAATATTCTGAAAAAAAATGGTTTGCGTTTGAAGTTCACTTCGAGGTGTGCCTGAAAGCCCCCTGCATGCTCTCCAGTAACAAATGCTTTGTCCTTGTTTTGCAGGAATACCGCGTGAACGAGGCTTTTTTTCTTCGTACGTTTTCAAGAATTATTTCGCATGCGCTATGGTTAGTCTCAATTTCGTGAATGTCGTTTTGCAAGGTTTCCAAATTTTAAATGCTTTTATGTTTTTCAAGTCGGTGACGTTGCATACGGATTGTGGAGATTTGAAGCTGGAGTTGCATTGTGAACGATGTCCCAAAGCTTCTGAAGTAAGTTTTTCGTTGGAATTTGAGAATTTTACGGGAACTTACTATGATTTTGCCTTCAACAGAATTTTTTGGCACTCTGCGCAAGTGGTTATTATGATGGGACGATATTTCATAGGAACATGAAAGGTTTCATGATTCAAGGAGGAGATCCCACAGGAACGGGTAAAGGTGGTAACTCCATTTGGGGTGGAAAATTCGAGGACGAAATCAAAGAAGATTTAAAGGTGGTTTTCCATTTGAGTTTTTTTTTTTTTAGCTTTTTTCCAGAATGACCTGAAAGCCTTGGAATTTTGTGAATTTCTCTTCTCTTTTTTGGGAATGTTTTCAAGTTTTATTATATGCAAGCAAAGATGAATTGGGCATTTTTATGGATCTAAAACAAATTGAGACGGACAGTTTGAGACAGGGCCAAATTGAGCCAGATTCTCTCATAGACCAGGACAATTTGTGACAAAAACTTTTTGAGACTGGAACTTTTGGAGACGGACAATTTGAGGCTGAAACTTTTTTGAGACATGGACAAATTAAGACAAAATGACTTGACTGTGTTTCTCCCCATTATCTTATGTTTAAGGTGTGACATTTCACAAAAATTGCACTGCTTGGTGGAAAGTCCATGATCCCAGGGTGTTTTTCCTTTTTGTCCATCACTGTCAAGTGAGTTTACCTCATAAAGGAAAAACTCAAATCTTTGAACCAACCTAAGCAGATTCCTCTCCTCATTTAAATAGTTTTTGTCTCCATTTGTCCCTGTTTCAAATTGTCCTTGTCTCAAATTCTCCCAGTATCGTAATTTTCCCTGTCTCAAATTGGTCCTGTCTCCATTTGTCCATTCTTGATTTGTCTGTATCCCAATTTTTGTGTATGTGTTGAGAAGCTTTTCAGGGATGGGTTGAAGTACTGAAAAATGCCCAAAAATGGTCTCAAGTATCCTACGCAAATTCCATTCAATCCATGTGTGCTCCTGTGTCAGATTGAACTACAGTAGTTCAATTGTAAAATGAAATTGTGATTGTTAGCTACATTTCCAGTACTCAAAAAATGTAAATTTATTATTGGCTAAAAATCGTGTGAATTTCAATATTTCTCGAAGTGCTATAATTTCTTGAGTATTTTATCTAACCATTCCAACGCATCCGAAATACAGTACTAAATTGTACACCACTTTTCAAGATATACTTTGTATTAATGTAAGAAAACGTGGAACTCTTCCATCTAAGATGCGTCTGACGGCATTTCATTCGCTTTTAGCACGATGCAAGAGGAGTTGTTTCAATGGCGAATAAAGGCCCAGACTCAAACGGATCTCAATTTTTCATCACATACGCTGCCCAGCCTCATCTTGACTTGAAGTACACAGTGTTCGCAAAGTGAGTCTCAGTATCTGTGATTTCCTCGGGTTTTGTTCTTATTTATATGTTCTGTGGTTTTTTATGCGTATGTGTTTTTAGAGTTATCGACGGGCTCGAAACGTTAGACGAACTGGAAAAGCTTTCCGTGAATCCCAAGAACAACAAACCACTTGCGGATACGCACATCACAGGCGTCACGATCCATGCTAATCCTTTGGCTGGTTGATGCGATAAAACTTCGCCCTTTTTCAGTTTTATTTTTCACGTTGATATATAGGTTTCCGAATACATTCCTCCAGGTTTCTGTTTTGCATGGCAGATGCTAAACAGTGTAATTATCGTTTGATCAATTGGAATGTGAAGTATTGATCGAGTGATGGAGAATGTTTCCGAGCCGAAGTGGAGCGATGGTGGACATTCCAGATCGTGCACTGATTTCGGTTGTTTAATTGTGTTCCTGGTCGTGATACTTGCGACGGTGAGCAAATTATTTCCATTTCAACAGCATATTTCTTTTCGAAAGTACGAGGGATTGTTACAACTTTTGTCTGGACGATACCTTGAATTTGTATTATTTGAAAACCGAAATTCTGTCGCACCTCTGTGAAATCAATTAAGCTTAAAACATCTCTTTTTGTTAATTTAGTAAGATTTTTTTTATTAATTGCTGCCTTGTCGTTCTTTTTCATTGACATCGTAAAAATTATTGTATGCATCATAAATTACGTATTCTCGCCAAAAATGATTTTATACTTGCACCAAATTTTCGTAAGCACATGGACCACCTACGAAATCACGAGGGGTAAGTGTGACAGGTGAATGGTATATCTAAGTGATCGAGTACATTTAAAAAAAATTCCTCTACCCATTTCAATCTGGTTATGATCAAAAATTGCTTTGGTGCTGAGGAAATGAACCTGCGCTAGTTTACTTTACTTCGAAGATCAGTCATTCGTCCAACAGTAAAAGTACGAGACTGGCAAAATTTGTGAACTGCCCCTCGTTCGTCAAGAATAAAGCAGATACTTTTCTTACTTTTCAAAAAGTGTTCGGTTTTAGCCAAATGAAATCATTTCGAAATCTCTTCGTTCGTTGAATTTCATCGCGTTTTCCTTCCAGGTATTTGTTAGTGCTTTCGCTCTGGTGTACGGAAAGCCGTATGCGTTGAAAAATGGTGCGGACAGCTTTGGAAATTTCTGTGGAGTGAATAATGCGGATAGCAGGTTTCCACCAGCGTTTGTCAATTTATCGGGATTGGATATGACTGACCGCAGGTTTGTAAAAATTAAAAATAAAATAAAAGCAAAAATGCCATCGTACTTCGAATTCACAAAATCGGAATACGGAACTTTTTTGTGCATAGGTACTTACTATACTTTGATTTGGAAAATTTGGACGATTCGTTGGCGATTTGTGTACACGATTGTCCGAGACGCAACATTGGATCGATGGATGAGCTTCTGCGATTCTCGAAAGAGGATCGAGGGCATTTTTGCATGTACGACGTTGATTTGAGCGAAAGCCATGGGTTGAACATGTCCGGTGCATTGGGGCCTTGTCCTAAATTCCCCATTCCATCCAGGTAAAATATTTGCGAGTTATCTTTCTGAAGAGGGGTTTGTTTCGAACGTTTTGCCAGTATTTCACTCCCTGTGGTCAGGACTTCTACATAATGGAAACAAAATTTTCTTTAGTAGACGAATTTTTTTTTATTTCATTGTACTGTATTTCAAGTTATTTTTTCATTTAATATTTCATTCCGTATTTCTTTGACTTTTTGCCCGCAGAGGTTAAAATGAAGGTCAGACGAATGAATATGCACCTAATTTATGTGTCAAAGTAAGGTTTACATTTCTCTCTTCCATATGTATGAATTCGGGGATGATGTAAATGCTAAAAAGAAAGTTTCCAATTATTGAATAAGTCTCAATTTGGGTAATTTGGTGTTAGTGACGCTGAATGTAAAAATTTCCACGATTTTTAGTCGTTGAGCGAGATGTTATCAAAGTGAAAGCAACAAATGACAGTTCTTGGCGCTTGAAGAAAGATAAAATTATTGCTTCAAGTCTCGTTATGGCGTAAAGGATTCTGACCCGAAAAATCGAATACAGTACATTTCTTGAAGAATTTTCCAACAGCTACATTTTTTGCATTGATCTGATTTATGTGTCATAGAATGAAACTCTTCGTTGAAACTGATGGAAACTTACTTACTAACGTTGAGGCTATTTCAGCAAGAATATTTACGCATAAAGTCTCTTGAATTTACTCGAGGATTTAGCGGAATATTTTCAAAATAACCCTCGTATTGAGGAAATAGCATGACACTGTAGAAAATTTGTTTTCTTAATTGGACTCCGTTTAACTTTTCAGTGCTGCTGTGCTCGGAAGGTGCGTCCCATTAGACAAGAAATATGAAACGAAGTCAATCTACAATATTTATGCATCGTTGAATTCCGTCGATGCGTGGAATCATGCCCTTGGGGATGTCTACACCAACTGGGGTGTTGTATCAGTGCTGGGATTAATCGCTGTTTGTAAGTCATCAGGATGAACCTCAGTCGAACCATTTTTGATCAATTTTATCCTTTGCAGTTTTGACGACCATGATCATCATACTTGCTCATTGCTGTGGGAACCATTTCACGTCAATGATAATTTTCGCAGCGGCTGCCGTGAGTTTTGGTGAGTTGTCCAGGAAATGAACGGATTATATGATTATTTGATTGAAATTCTTTTTAAATACTGTACACATTATTTATCCATTGTTTTTTGCTGCCTCCTGAGATTGAGAAAGTCGGGGTTCGTATACGAGTGGTTGCTTTTACTGAAAGCTTGAAAGAAAAATCTGGAGTTTTTTTGTTTATTCAGCGGGAGTTGTCATTCTTTGGTGGGCTTACTTCTGTGCGAGAAGTGACTTGGATTTGACGCCGGTGGACATGCTGCTTGCGGAGCGAATTGGAAATGAAGAAGCCCTTCTATTTTTCTCGATTTTCGCTTCATTATTCTGTGTGAGTAACTTGTCTATCCATCTTTTTCTTGTGATATGGATTTTCTTACGTGATAATGAAGAATTTTTGACGTTTCGGATATCGCCGATAAAGTTAGTTAAAGCCGAAGTAATTAAATTTATGAAGCCTGCATACATTTAAATATATGTTTGTCCATGACGCAGTTGAACCACGAGTTGGTGGGCGACGGACATTGACGTTGAAAGAGCCACCTGAGGGAGCCTCAAAAAAGTTTCCCTCAAATGTGTGTTATTGTATTTCACTTTCCTCAGAAAGGTAGTTCTTTTTAGACATGAAACATTTCCGTTTTGAGAAAACTCTACAGTCTAATATATTTATGTTTGATTTGTTGATTGTATTTCTTTCCTTTTTGTCAAGGTTGCTCTTTGGGGGCTGATCGTTGTGCTCTTCAAGAAACGTGTGGTACTCAATGAACTAGTGATGGAAGCAGTGGATTGCTTGGCTGATTTGGGGTTTATGTTCCGGTGTCTTTCATTTGTGACGCTGCTGACTTTGGGACTCGTTTTCTTCCTTTGGACTTACATTATGCTGTGCTTGGCTACATCCAGTGAGTCTTTTTAATAGCGGGGTTAGGCACTGAATGCGAAATCTATCATCTTTTTTTTTTCGCTGCAGATGATGTGATGGTGCACAGTGTAGAAAAAGCTATCGCGGAAGTCCCTCTCAATTCGACTTTGATCCGTTCTGCGACTGAGGAAAATTCTTCGGGAGGAATAGGTGTTTTGAAAGGTATACTTCTTTCCGATTTCAAATTTTTCATGATTTAGCACGTCCTACTTTACAGAGATGTCAATGCTTACGTATACGAAGTGGATTTGGGTGAAACATTTTTGGTGGCTGATGCTCATAGCTTTGTTGTGGGTGTCCGAGTTTGTTCTGGCCTGGCAGCAAATGGTCGTCGCAGGTGCCGTTGGTCAATGGTTTTTCAACAGGTGATGAATTTACTTTTTTTTTGTCAAAAAGTGATCACCAAATGTATATGATCCTGGTTTACACTTCATTCTTTAGATCGGAGAGGGAGACGACGTCGAGATTTTCATTCTCCTTCGGCATCTGGCTTACCATTTTCAAATATCATTTGGGCTCTGTGGCTCTGGGATCGTTCCTGGTGGCCACTTTCAAATTTCCGAGGATTTTTATGTTTTGGATGAAGAAACTGTAAGTTTGTGTGGTCGTCGATTCTTTTCTTTAGCTGAATTTTGTATAAACTTTATTTGAAGCATCTTCTCTTGTTTAAATGAAGTGTGATTCTAGTTTACAACTCTATTCCTAAAAATAAATTTTCTCCCGTGGAAAAGTCGAAGAGGCTTATTATGTAATGCCGTTTTATTCTTGTTTCCTTTCCATAGGTTTTCGAGGTTTCAGAACAACCCGGTTGGAAAGTGTTGTTCAACATCAATGTGCCTCTTTTCTTCGTGCTTTGACAACTTCCTCAAGTTCGTTCATCACAATGCTTACACGATTGTGGCGATGCAAGGAGTGGATTTCTGTCCGGCTGCCAGAGTGGTTAGAAATTATATTTTCGACACTGTTTTGGACTTCCTGATTTTACGTGTGTGCTGTGCTGAAAATCCGATTCCGCAGGCCGTGGAAATCGTGGAGGGAAATTCTTTGGAAACAGTCAAGGTTTTGTCCATGATCGGGAATGGTCCACTTTTCTGCGCCAAAGTGGCTGTTACAACTTTGGTTTCCGCATTCGCCTTGACTTTGCTGAAAGACAAGGATGCCTCTGCAACGGTTTACAGTGTGCCACTGTTTGCCACTGCTGTGTTCGCATATTTCGTTTCTCATTGCCTCATCAGCGTTTATGAGGTAAAGATTCTTCGTCGTAGGTCTCGTCCAATTATTGGGAAGTTCCTTAGCTTTTTCGAACTACATTATGTTCCTGCAATAGCATAAAAACCGTGTATATTATTTTCAGTGGACTTATTGGTTTATTTTTAGGTTATATTATGTATTCATCCAAGTGGAATCTTAAATACCTGAATTATTTTGTTTCTTTTGAAATATTTTCATGATTCATCTAAATGAAATCCTGAATTTATGGCATAGAAGAAAGTATTTATGTACTATATTTCACTCTTAATTTAACACGCGAAATGAAGTTTCTATCTAAAATATCGTAAAATTGCGATTGGCATGCATGATTAATTTTTATTTAACCTTTCACTGTATTTCATGAGAACCTGAAAATTTCTCCACCAATTTTTTTGGTGGAACCAACATGCTGTTTTATCAGAAGAAGTTTTAACACATGATGAAATTGAAGTTCGCTGAATTATTTCTACAGGTCATTATGGACACTCTGATTCTGTGCTTCTGCGAAGATTACACCAGGTACAAAGGAGAAGGGAGGAAGAGTAAAGGGCGGAGTATGAGCGAATTCGCCTGTCCTCTTAGTCTGTACAATTTGATGACTTTGGGTTCCAGAGGAACCCGTAGAAACAGCATTGCTAGAAAGCATCCGAGTGACATAGTTTGTCAAGAAGAAATCCTCGAATTGAAAGTTACTGCTTGAAATGCTACCGATTTTTGAATTATTTTTGCGAGTGCTTTAATTTTTCTGGAACCGTTTCTTATGTTGTGCTTGTTGATCTCCTGACAAATCGCGCATTTGTGGTATTAGGAAGCTTTTACTGGACAGGTCGATGGAAATAAAATTCAGCAGGAGAGTTTGAATTTTTTGCTGTGACGATTCGAATTTTGTGGTTCGTGTGATTTGCTCGCTAAATTAATCGTTTTCCAGTATTAGTGGGGCAGCAGAAGTGAAAAATCCAATGCTTCAAGTTTTGGAAAGTTGACAAAATTTAATCGACATTATTTGACCAAGTGAAAAATATGTACCGAGATCTTCCTTTTCATTGACCGATTTACAGACTTGGCACTCCATCATGTGATGAGACTAGATCAGCATTATTTATAATCAAGTACTTTACCATACATGCTCTGTGCCAAAGTTTTAGCCAAACTGGTACAAGCCATGTGACGCATGTCCATGAAATTGGTAATTCAAGAGGAAATTGTGTAAAACTTGCTGATAAATAATCCATGTGTCCCTAGCCTGGAGGATCCGTGATACAAATGGAATTGTTATGCAGGTATTAATATGCAGTAGAATGAAGAAAAAACAGGTCACATCGCATAGATTGATCCGATCCTCAGCACTACCAAAAAGACATTGCCCACACATGTAGCACAAGTAAATTAACAGGTTCGTCAGTGAATACATCCTGAGTCCATCTTAACGACAGCGTTCCTTTTATTTCCTAGAGCCAGTTCCACGACGGAAATCTCATCAAAAAAATAAGAACTGGAAAGCTCCACAAGTTGGAAAAGTAGCCTCTCCGAGTAAAATGCATTTAAGCGGCTTACAATATAAAACACAAGAAAAAATAGTCTCAACAGTCGTCCGGAAGAAAAAAAGATAAGGAACAGATCTCGACGTCACCACATCATCTCCTACTGAATCCAGATCTCGAGAGGGAGTTGAGTCGCTTCCGGGTATAACAAACACAGCAGGACGGAAGTCGGAAATACTCCATGACGGTCACAAGCTCGTTATCAACACCAGCCACGTCTGCTTTCTTCACTGCCAACAGTCGTCGACTAGTGTACTTCTGCTTGCACACAGTTTCCATCCCAAAGGCAGCTCTAATGTCCTTCAGACCGCTACAAGGCTCTCCTTCAGCTCTGTCCGAGAGAAGTTGGAGTTATTACAAAATTTAACCAAAACGAATCGTTCAGAGAATGTAGAACCACGTACGCTCCCGAAACTAGTGGTCGTTTCTCAATGAAGTACCACTATCTCCCTGTACAATGGGAAATAGAGGTTAACATAATAACATAACGCACCTGCATAATTCAGCATGGACAGTCTGCACATATCTTCTGTCATTCACTATCACACGCCACGTATCGTTGGTGTTCTTCGCTGCTTGGACACGCAACGGTTTCGTCTGAACATGAAAAGAAATACAGTATTTATTAAGGACACAAAACGGATGCCACGTGCAACTTCCTTTTCGAACGGGATGTAAGCTCGGAAAAATTATGCAGCACATACCTTGATGGCAGCATTAGAAACTTTCAGTTCGAGGAGGTGGCGAACGTTTTTACGACAGACTTAATTGACATCGATAGGTTCGTACGAATTCATGTAGACATGCATGTAGAATTGTGTAATTAAATTTTAAACCGCAAGTAATTGCCTTATTTGGTTGAAACTTTGCACAATGCGCCAACGAAAATACAGACCTTTGTACGTTACCTAAAACCTGGTCCGCACTAATTTTTAGTCGCATGAGAAATTCGATTATACTACAGAATAAAAATTCCTTTTAAGGAAACGTTAAACAGAAGTTATTTCCATTTCACTGTATTCCATCATAAAAATCTACCCAATTCTTCATATACTGTACTCAATGACGTTAGGAAGCGCATGTGAAATGAAAACGCCTCTTCGCTAGAGGGACCGTCAGAAACTTACATTACACGTATTCACAACTACAATATTTCTGGATTGTACCACTTCAAAGACTGGCACTGTTGGTACATTACGATCTTATGGGTACCAAGTTCCACAAACGAAGGACATGGAAGTTTAAAATTAAAGTACTGTGCTTGAAAATGTCCTTAAACTTCACACTCAGTAGCGCAAAGTAATTTACAATATTTTGGTTCCATGTATCTTGAACAGAAGTTCAGATCCCTAGCTTCACAATTATTTCATTTTATTTTATTGTAGTACAGTACTCAAAACTGTTTTACATTGACAACCCAAGGACTACTTTTTAGACTTGAATGCCGATTGTCGGAAATACCCTCCATTTAAAAGTTGACTATCTCTACAACGAAATTCTCCCTGCAACGCATTTTTTTCTGGTCCCCTGAATTCCCCATGCAGCAAATTTTTTACTGGTCCCTTCCATTTCGTTGTTGAGAACCCCTATGATACGAGGAGAGAAGCCTATGAGACCGAAAATTTGTTCAGAGAAAATCGTTGGAAGTCCACCTGTATCTTGATAAAATTTCACGAACCAAACGCGTATGGTGAGTACGGTGTACCACTGGAACAAAAGCCCCGACTTACATCATACGAGCACATTGGTGTGTCAGAAGCCGCCAAATCCGGCGTGATGCCACCACGGCTAGACAATATCTCCGTGGTCGTGAAGTCCTCCGCGTGGAACACGGGCAGCGAGTCCGAAGAAACATTGGCCTGCACGGGCATCTCAGCTCCAGAGTCGAAGAACAACAGGTCCGTCACCATTTGCCCAAACTTGCCTTCAAGCTCCCGCCGAATAACGTCTCTGCGTCCAAAGTCTACAGTTCCTCAACTATTTTTTTGCAAAGAGCTACGTAATAAAAAAAAAAAACGGATGCTCACTCTGGGTAGTCGTTGAGCACGGAACAAATGCCGTAGGTGTTCATGTGCGGCTCGTCAACGGAACTGCAGTTGGGCGTGAAGTCCGGATGATGGGTCGTCGCGGTTGAAGTCGACTGTGTTGTAGCAGTCACTGTTCGCGTATCTTGACTCTGGGTCGGCACCGAAGACCCCCTCCATGATTCTCTAACCTCCATCGTTTCCGGGAAAATGATCGGCAAACTTGACGTTGTTGATCCAGCCGCCGCTGTCTCATAGGAAACACGACTGTGGTGCATATTCATAAATTTTTCGCTTCGGCGCCACTTCAGTGTGTCATTTACAGTTTTATACATCATCGGCATTCTCGTTCAAACGCGGATTGGTTAATTAAATACGCCAGTACCCTTCTTCCGGCATCGGAGAAGGAAAAAGTTTAAATTTAATGATATTTGATCACTTTTTGACTCATGTTTTGCTCATATAGCTTGCGAAGAAAAATACTTTCGTTTAAAAAAAAAAGAATATTCTAGGCCGCATGAAATACCGCATTGACCCGAGTACCACGTGCACCTCTTTTACAAAAAAACTTGAGCAGAAATGAGGTGCGCGACATAGTCAGGTACAAAATTTAAAGCGACATTTTTAAAAATTGAAAACTTTTCTCTCGACGTTAATTTTTTTCCAGATTTCTCCATTTTAATATTACTTTTATTTTTATAAAACAACAATATCGCCATTGAATTCAATTTTGAACTGGGCTTGAATTTAGATTTTTACCCACGCGGCTTTTCAAATAGAAATTTTAATAACTGAAAAACTAAGGTGCGCGTCTTATGAAAGGATAAAAACGTTACCAAAATTTTAGCAAAACATCTTAGGTGCGCGTGGTACTCGAGTAAATACGGTAGGTAAATGAGGCACATTTGTGATGGACATCAGATAATGCAGCCACATTTTGCAGAAAACTACATTCATACGATGAAATAAGATAAAGAAAAAAGGGTTATCTAGCAGTTTTTCTCGCCTAAAGTGAAGAAAAGAAGATATAAGAAGTGAAGATATAAATCTTTTCTCAACAACACATCCCATAAATCTTTTCTCAACAGNATGAAATAAGATAAAGAAAAAAGGGTTATCTAGCAGTTTTTCTCGCCTAAAGTGAAGAAAAGAAGATATAAGAAGTGAAGATATAAATCTTTTCTCAACAACACATCCCATAAATCTTTTCTCAACAACACATCCCATAAATCTTTTCTCAACAACACATCCCATAAATCTTTTCTCAACAACACATCCCATAAATCTTTTCTCAACAACACATCCCATAATTAAAGTGACACAGACTCATCTTCAACTTGAAATGTCCATGATTCGCGCGGACTTTTTAATAACAAATTCTTGAATCGTGAGAAAACAACACATCCCATAAATCTTTTCTCAACAACACATCCCATAATTAAAGTGACACAGACTCATCTTCAACTTGAAATGTCCATGATTCGCGCGGACTTTTTAATAACAAATTCTTGAATCGTGAGAAAACACAGTGCTGGTAAATTTTGAAAAATTCAATGACACAATAAAGTGACACACTATCCAGAGATTTGCTCACCCGTTGTGGTCGGGAATCGAGCCCTGGAATCAGGAAGACCCCACTGTGTCGAAGATAGGGAGCGGGATGTCAGTGTCGTGTCAGACTGCAGGTCACCCTCATCTGGCCGCCAGTCCACGGTATGTCCAGTCAACACCGGGTCATCAGGAAAGTAAAAGGAGGATTTCTTCGTGGCCCCTGTGGAAGCTGGGTAACCATTCACAGCTCCTCGTCCATGTATCACGCAACAAAACCCAGCCTAAATCATCGAAATTATATAAATAAACGATTTCTAAAAAATTTACCAGCACGAAACACTATTTACACCTTTCAGCGACTGTGTTAGACAAATTCAACACCGAAGGAACAAAACCGAAAATTATTTTACAGTAACATTTTTGGAAAGTAGGATTTTTCATCGGACGCACAACGATTTCAATACTCAATATGCTGACGACTTCCGCAAGAATAAAACCCATTTTGAGGAAAACCCAAGCTGTGAACTTCCAGCGCCCAGAAATCAAACTAAACGATCAAAAGGTAGGGGTTATTTTAGATAATTTACCGAGGAAAACCGGAAACTAATCGTCTTAAAAAGTAGACATTTTGTTGAACGCGAAAATATATACGAAATCCGAATAACCTTTCTTCCTTCGAGGAATATTCTCTATTTTTAAACAGCTTTATGCGTGATACGACCATAAATCAGACTACAAAAGTCCAAGCAAGCGGCAATTTTTAAAGAATTCTTCAAAATCCGCCTGCTACTCGCATTCAGGCTTGTAAATATTTCTCGATCTCGTCATCAACGTCACGCCTCTTCTAGTCTAAATATCAGATGACACAGAAACTTTTAAATCATCTCATAGAAAACACCTTCCCAAGATATCTGCGTCAGCAAGTCGTTGAAATGATATTTTCCAACGATAAAAATTGATTCAAGAATTAACCGTGTTTCATTCTCTAGAAATATAAATTATTGGCGACCAGCAGGACTTCCGAAACACCATTCGTATAGCTTGTACCCATGCACCAAACCTAAAAACCCTCGTTAGTTCAACACCATGACAATCTTCCCGATATTCGCGTCGTCAATGAACTACTGTACACATATTCTTGGGCAGGGAAACCGCGTAAGTTGACGAGAATTGGGTGTTTTATAATTAGAGAACATGCGCCAAGTGGCACGCGGTGTTGAGACACTCCCTATTGCAGTATATAACTTCTTCCACATGAAAAATATAGTGCATGTACAATAGTGCAGCTACGAACACCTCCTGATACCAAAAACCCCTGAGATATAAAAAAAAATACTCCATGCAACTGTCTTTTTTGATTTCCCATCAATGCACATCACTGTACACAAGATGGAATATATCACACCATTTTGGGATGGAACTCGAACGGGATCTTCTAGCATCCTCGCTGCAAAAGAACAGGAACTACGCAGGAAGGCTTCTTCTAACAGCCATCATTGAAGGCACTGCTGTTCACATAAGAGCCTGCCGAAGGCAAAACCCTCCATTACCTAGAAAAATTAGCAATTAAAACCCACCCAGTCCACACGGAATGAAGCAAACCAGATATGTCATGAAGGGAAGGAACAAAATTTTGCAACGTCGCACCCAAAAAATAAGCTATAATAACTCTTCATGAACACTTCGTAAAAATCGCGAAAAATTCATCTAGCAAAGGTAACGCCGTTTTTTGCTAAGCTAAGAATAATAGAGTGCGACAGGTACTCCATCGAATATCCGAAATATTCTCACTTCTCTTTTGTCTTATTCTAAATTAATGGAAGTTAATCTGCCATTTTCTTCTTCAGGACTCTAAGTCTCTGGAAGCTTTCAATTAGACAGTCTTCTCATCAGGCATATATACACGTCGTACGAAGCAAAAACAGGTACCATTTGCGTGCTACTCATATCTCTGCATTGACGTTCGAGTTAATTCGTCACTTCGTGTCAAGCTTATTGCACCGGATTTCAAATAGCTCATTAAAAGGAATTCCTGTCAAAGCACTAGTCATGACAGTACTTTCCATTCAAGCTATATTTTTATCTAATCCAAACGGTGCAATGAAGCGAATGCAGTTGCAACAACGTCCTCGTCGCTCTGTGTTTATGTCATTAATCTTTCCAAACTTCCATCCTTCGGCATGGAGGTGCCAAAAATTTATTAGTTCGTACGTTGATGATCATACACAGAACTATTCAAATTTCTGGCAGCCTAGATATAAGCAATACAAGTATATTTTCTGACCTCATTAGTTGTGCTACGATGAGTGAGCCTCTTGGGTGTTGGACTTTATTGGGTTCTAGGTTTTGTATTAAACCTCATTTCATATTTTCCGGCAATTTTTTTTTAGGATTCAGAGTTATCTGGCATTCTTGTTCATACCGAAGTTTCCCGATGTTGAAAGCTCCACCAACACTCTATGGGGGTGGTTTCCCTGTGAAGACCGCGGATTTTGTGTGGATGGGGACAGTATTACGGCTGCCACATTCTCCTTACCAAACGGTACCGATACAGTGTTCGTCTCGTAGTCATTCTAATGATCCTTTTACAAGGACGGGAGGTAACATTTTCAGGAAAATGTTGTCCCTCTCGAAGGATCGAAAATCCCGTGGATCGGCGCAACGATCAAGAACACGCCCTTCCAAGGGTACACTCATTGATGGCAGCGATTTGCATGGGTTTCCCCACGACGGGGAATGAAATGCTAGCCCACATCCATTCCCCGACAATTGAGCGCTGTGCGTGGGTTAACAATGCACAATGGCTGTAGCGATAGAAACAAGAGACTCACCAGCCAGAGCAGCCGACCACTTGGAATTATCATGGTCGTTTCCGGTCACTAACTCATATTCCACACACGCAAGTTGCACTCACAACTCCGTTCTAATATCGCGAGAGTGCGCGTGGTGGTGGTCCACAACCACTGGTGCAGTTCAATTATCCTGACTAACGTAGTGTCGTACACGCCGAGATGGGATACCACTGAGGCGTAGGACACGTGAGTATAGTGAGAGAAGGCTTTCAGGAAGCTTGTCAGAAGCCAAGCCGGAAACGAGAGAAACCAGTCCATGAACACTCAGTTCCATTGAAAAAGAAGGTCGTCTAGCGGGGAAATCGAGCACTAACCGGTCAGTCAACGGAGTACCGACAGGTTGCCAACATGCATCTACTCATCACGTGCGCAGACGAACTTAAACCTTGTGCTGTAATGTACATCTGTCCGAATCTTTCGGGCAACCTCGTTGGAAAGCCAGTTTGTTTCGCGAGTTAGTGTAAGGTTAGTCCTCGCAAATAGCAGATAAATGAAAAGCTTGTCTGAATCAGAATCCACCCTCAAGGGTAAAGAAATCACGAAGGAACCATCAGTTCAACAAAGCAACAACCTCCCAGCATCTGCATCCCCGTAGGACTGCTCAAATTATATTAGTGTATCTACCAAAAATTTAACAGCAATCTTGATTGATTTCCAACATAGCTGTAGTGCATCCCCAAATATTAGTTTAGATCACTAATACTGAGAAAAACGTTCAGGAAAAGACGAAGGGTGGTTGTAAACATTGTCATCCACAGAAGATTCCTTCAAGAAAACTTCCTTGGAAAACTGAACAGCACCAGTGCAGTTTTCAGGGAAGCTCGCTCAAAAAGAAAGAACAACGAAAAAAAGGGCAGTGCTTTTTTTTTAAATAGTGGTCGAAGCGTTTCAAAAAGCCCAATACCGAACATGATATGATGCTTGATTAACATTTGTGCATGCCACAGTTTGCCAATTAATAAAAACAGAAATAACAGCATTCCTTCGATTATTGCAGTTTCTGTACAGTATGAAAGTTCCATTGTGATGTATAAAAGGGAGCGGAGTACTGTTCAGACATCTATAGAACTCTTCGAGACGTTTTCGGCATTTGGCAAGATGTGCAAACATTTTTACATCCCCTTTTTTAACATCGGCGACTCGGGAGGAGTAGATTTTGCTCAATATAGCAGCAATAAACTGCATATGGTTTCATTTAGGTCTTTTGGAAACCCTTTGTACATACTGAAAGCATATTTCTGAAGAAAAGTAAGTGAGGAGAGTCGAAAGCGGAGTACAGTATTTTGCCCCGCCTGCATGCAGCCTCCATACACCCGGATCACTTGTGACCCGGAACTCTACCCGGAATTCCCCCCGCCAATTGATCAGGATCATCTTACGGAATCTAAGAGTAATCCTCAAGCAATACATTTCTGATGGCATGGTTACGAATGATAGAGGCAAAAGTAAGAATGTAACTTACCGGTGGACTTATTCAGAAAAACCATGGCATGATCAATAACATGAGAGCCAAAAACCAAATAATTCTAGAACACGTCATAAATTGAATAATGCAATCTCAAAACCTTCCCGTTTTCAGATACGGACGTACGCAAAAGTGATCAACTTGAAGTAGGCACCCGCCTCAAACTTAAAATGACATACAACGCAAAATACTTCAGGTCTTCTCTTAAGCTTTTTAAAAATTAAACGTTAGAAAAAATGAATACCGAGTTTTCCATGTTTCTAGGAAAGCATTTGATTGAATACTCCAATCAAAAATTTCTTGAACATCCTCGGTTTCAGTGCGGCAAATCAAGAAGATCTTCACGAACAATAAACTAATACGAGGAACAATACGCTGAACTCGCCCATTTTCTTTCTGTCTTGGCTGGCTATACGCGATTCAAATGCTCTTATAGAACGTAGCTGATGATGACTCTCAAACACGAGAATCCCATGCTTTCAAAACGAAAGTGACGTTGAACGCGTCTCCACTCAGAAAAAAACTTGGGCAATGTATAGTAAGAGCTTCCATTTCTTAGCTTATCCACACATCCTTTTAAAACATGAGTACAGTACATGAACACATTCACGCAACTAGACATTAAAGTACGCCTAAGAAATTCAAGAGTGACCACGAACACCACACAACGAAGAATGAATGGATCCAATCCAGTTAGAAACGCTATCGCACGCAATACGCATGTTCACCTCAAGACAGGCTGCACTCACGTCCGACAGAAAATTTAAATTTGGGGCCAATGCCGTTCTTGCCTTCGAACCTCCGGTTACCAGATTGAATTTACTATCGCAATGTGCTAGTAGGTGTCGCTGCTGAACCGTGCAAAGAAAAGTAAAATAATAATCAGGCATCGAGCAGGGCAAAATATTTAAAAATAATTTTCAATTTGGAATCTCGGTAAGACGGTAATCAGCATAGTTCAAATTTAAAAACGCGGTTCAATGTCTGCAAACTAATAAGCTTGTCTGGAATAACTAATTTACTTGGATAATTTCACCTAACATGCATGCACAAAATGTACATTTCAGTTATGTAATTGTATTGTAGTACGCTACGTATACAGTACAATACCTGTAAAGCATCTTGATTGAATGCTACTTCGTGACTCTGAGATAGGTGTCACTAGCACAATGCCACTACTCCTGAACCATGCCGACTTGGGACAAGTGAGATAAACGCAGGCCAGACGAGTTCCTGGGATCGCCTGGGTCTGTGTGGTTGTCCAAGTGTGAATTACTCGACTTAATATGCGGAAAGATACGCACGATGCTAGCGAAACTGTAGAGGTCATTCTTGTTTAATAACGCATATTGAGAAAGTGCTACTATTTGCTGGATTTCAGGAGCAGCCGTGTTATTTTTATCGATTGTGAACGGATCTGAAGTTGAGAACGTGTAAACGATGGCAGAAACAGAGAAAGGAGAATTGGTGAAGATGGAGGTGGACTACACCAATGCTTGTGACGAGAAACTACCAGTAGCTGAAAAATTAGCTACGGACGGAGATCTCAGTGGTGCATTGGAGATATTGATGGCTTTGGAAAAGCAGACACGAACTGTAAAGTTATTTCGTTGCATTGCTGTGTAAGAAATATGATCGATGCTCTCTTCTTTCTTTTTTTTTTCTTAGGGTGCTGACACGCATTCTTTGAGTCGTGTGCTTGTAGCAATTGTCAAAATCTGTCGCAATGCTGGAGCGTGGGATCTTCTCAATGAGAACATCATTCAGCTCTCGAAACGAAGAAGTCAATTGAAACAAGCTTTGGCGAAAATGGTTCAAGAATGCTGCTCATTTGTTGATGAAATGCCGGATAAAGGAACGCGTTTGAAATTAATCGAAGTTTTGCGTACTGTCACCTCCGGAAAAGTTCGTAGATTTGAATTTTTGTTACGACTCCATGGATATGTTATTGTGGTACATATTTTCAGATCTACGTCGAAGTCGAGCGAGCCAGATTGACGCATAAATTGGCACTCATGAGAGAGGAGGAAGGAAATATTGAGGAAGCCGCCACAATCATTCAAGACTTGCAAGTCGAAACATTCGGCTCCATGGATCGCAGGGAGAAAGTTGAACTTATCTTGGAACAAATGAGATTTTGTCTGATGCGTAAAGATTACGTTCGAACTCAGATAATTTCGAAGAAGATCAACACGAAGTTTTTCGACGACGTGTCGGCGAGTGACTTGAAATTGAAATACTATGAGTGAGTTCAAGTTTCTGCTTTATCGCGACATGAGTCGATATAATTCTCCTTTCTTTGCAGCTCAATGATCGAGTTGGACGAACATGAAGAGTCTTTCTTGGATACGTGTAAGCATCATCGAGCGATTTACAACACAGCTAGCATTAAGGAAGATAAAGCTAAGCGGGAATTGCATCTGAAGAGCGCCATTCTGTTCCTACTCTTGGCCTCTCACGATCCAGAGCAAAATGATCTACTGAGACTCATGGAGAATGAGAAGGGTCTGGAGGATCTGCCAACCTACCGGTATGAAGTAAAAAAAAAACTTGATATCCTTGTGCTCTATTTCCTCATTTTATTTCATGTAGAGAATTGTTGAAGCTTTTTATTTCGCCCGAGTTGATTCGCTGGAAGAGCTTATGTGATACTTACGGCGTTGAACTCCGTGAGGGAAAGACTGATTCACCGCCGACAAGTTTGTTTCCCAAGACGGAAGATGGTGAAAAACGATGGGAAATGTTTCATCGCCGAGTGGTTGAGCACGTGAGTTTCGTGTCACGGCATTAAGGTTAAATTCGTGCTGTAACATCTGCCATTTTTTCTAGAATATTCGTGTGATGGCGCAATACTACACAAGGATTACGCTAGCGAGAATGTCGCAGCTCATTGAGCTTCCAGTGGATGTGAGTGCTTTTTTCTGTACTTATATCAATTTGGTTTTATAGTAATGTAGTAGAAATACGATTTTCTTTCGTTAAAACTCTTCCCGTCCCTGCTACGATATAATTCCGCTGCAACAATGGTGACCAAACTAACCCAACCTTGAGTATTACGAACTCAATATTTATTTAGCTTAGTACATAATTTACTGAACCATACACCCAACCATCCTAACTCTGCTGGCATCCAGCAAAATTGCCAAAAACATATTTTATTGCATGTGGACTTCAATTCAATCCACTTTTAGAAACATTAAAATTTTGTTGTTTTTTCATGCTGATATTTCTGGTGATGAGTTTCATTTTGTGTATGTGTTGGTAACAATTAAGTATTCTCATTTTTTAATGTCCAGATGGCGTATCATTTCTATGCTGACCCAGAAGCGACTGTCAACGATTTTAAATTATTTAATTTTGAAATTAAAACGCTTTTAAATTATTTAATTTTGAAATTTCCTCTCCAGAAAACCGAGCAGTTCCTTTCCGACTTGGTTTCAAGTGGCACTGTGCAGGCTAAAACCGATCGTCCATCCGGAATCGTCAGCTTCGCTGCTCATCGAGACCCGAATTCCGTGCTGAACGCCTGGTCGAATAACCTTAATTCATTGATGGGCCTCGTGAGCAAAACCACTCACTTGATTAACAAAGAAGAGATGGTGCATAAACATTTACTGGGAACCACTGTGCGCTGATGTTCTTGTTCTGCGTTCGCGCGCGTATCTTTCGATGTTGTTTCAGAATAAGCCAGGTGTTGATATCGTTTAATTTTTCTCCTTTTTGTTCCGTGAGCAAATGGACGAGCAGATCGTCGATTCCATTTTTCATTTCATTTTTGTCCATGGTGTGCGAACTTCGATTTTATTGTGACTTGTGGTTCCGTGGGATTTTTCAGGGAAGTGCTTTTTCGTTTGTAAATTGCTGGAAAGAACATGTCTAATACGGAGAATAAGAAACGAGATGAATCTCCGGATGCGCTTGAAGGCGAGCCGACGGATGACGACCGACAAAGCAGTGCAAGTTCTAGATCTTCAAGTGAGTGTAGCTTTCGGGGAAGGTTTTCTTATCCGCTAGTAGAAAAATCCTTCGATTGATCGTTCTCAGAGACTTGCGCGTGTTCTTCGTATTGATATAACGAACTCACCACAGTATGAGGATCTTGGAAAAATAGAAATTTATAGGAAACTTATAGAAATCTAATGACGAAGTTTGTGTCGATCGAAGTCGGCAGTTAGACAGGAAGAAAATTGAATTCTGGCATTATTTCATCTACAAGGGTTTTTATACTGAACTTTGAAAAACAAGATTCTGTTGCTATCTTTTCTCAGTTAATTTTATTTACGAGTGTTGATTATTTTGCGAACGGATGAACCAGACTCCTGTCTTTGATGATGCCGAAGTGTTCTTTTTTCGTTTCTCTGAGTATTGAAGATAACTATCGCAGTCTTGGTGATTCTCGTAGATTTTTCAGGCAATCAAGCACATTTTATGATAGAAGTTTCCTGCTGGTAAATGTTTTTGCGGGTCGATTAGTGCTGATCTACATCGATCTTTTTCTTGAATTCTAGGTTCATCAGCTTATGATGACGTATCTCCCGATTCTAAATACGACCTTTTGCGAGCAGCAGAAGCCGGAAATATGGAAGACGTTCTTCGGATATTGGCCGAAAATCCCGAGAGAGTTAATCTCGCAGACGAGAATGGGTACACGGCATTGCATCGGGCTTGCTATAGTGACCAGCACGAGATTGTGAAGGTATCTCTCAGCCCCTGTGTTTTAGTCTGTTCCTGAGGCAGAAATGAAAATAATGTCAAAGAGCAACATCAGCAGGACGGAATTTGAAAATATTTTCAAGCCGACGTGAAGTGATGCGAATTGCAGCGATCTGCCGCAATACCGGTTACACTCTTGTTACTATATTTCTATTTGCAAAAGCAGCTCAGCTTTAACTTCGTAGATCTTAGTTCGGAATTTCTGACGTCTCAGGGGAAATCGTGCAATGTAATCGTTAAAATAACCGCGTTACCTCAGATTTGAATCTTCGCGGTACTTTAAATCCTGCATTATTCGACAGGTCTTGATAGCAAACGGAGCCGATTACTTGAAAAAAACCCATGACGGATGGGAACCTCTACATTCTGCCGCACGTTGGGGAGCCACTCGCTGTGCGGAAATTCTGCTTGATCTTCCCAATGTGGATATTAATGCGCAAACAAACGGAGGTAGGAAACCCTTCGGATGAAGTAAATTCTTTTTTTGAAACCCCTTATTTACGCGAATATTAGATGCCATCGGTCGTGAGACGCACACACTTTTTTTGTCATCTTGAATTATGAAAAGGGGCTAGCGATTCGAGTGAAAATCCCAGTTATCAACGCCATTCTCTTGCACCAATTTTACGATGACAGCAATTCCTCAGACTCGGAAGAATTTTAGTGCTTCGAAGAATGAAACTAAAAGGGCTATTTTGATTTGTCTCATACTGGATTTAAAAATGTCTCTCAAATTGAAATTGAACGCGTGATGACTTCAATCATCTAAGAAGGAGAAAAAGATACCAAATGCTGTTTCAGATTTAAACTTGCAATTTTTACTCCCCATATTCAGATGAGCTCATGTTTCGAACGTATCCTGTTCGTTAAAAATGTGTAGGAATGAATTGATGAAATATGAATAATTTATCCGGGATGTCATCGCGTATTTTTAATGAGTCGTAAATCAGATATTATGCGTACGAATCTAAAATTAGGATAACAGTGAGTTTTATAAGTCTGAAGTGTTTTTTTTTTTTCAATTGGCGTAGATTCAGGATACTGTATTGCAACATGAGACTGAACCAAGTGTAAATTTCAAATCTATCCGTATTCTCTCGCTTTTTTTTTTCAAGCGAAAGTTGGCTTTCCAAATAAAAGGCGTCTTATATTCGATTGCTCCTTATAATTGATGGCCTCTTCGAAGAGTGCATGACAGCTTCTGAACAACATAAATATGAAGCCTGAAATCGAATAAAAAAATCTTAACCTGAATTCACATTTGAAAGGCTCGAAACTTCACAATCTTGATTTATATGGAAGGTGCTCGAAAATGCTGCTAGTAACAGTAAAACGAACGGAATGCTTCTTCAACAGGAAAAATTGTATGTAAACAATGTGAATGAGTTTCGAATTCGCAACCGATACAGATTTACATTTTGTAGCGCCGACGGAGGAAGCGCGTCTTATAATTAATGGCTTCTTACATTTGAATAAATACCGTACTGTGTGATGCGTAAAAGTATCGCCATTCGTCACGTAAATCATAAAGCTATCGACTCGATTGGTTGACCTTCGTCGAATGTACAGTACTGTTTAAATGTGTTTACAGAAAGCAGTGGTCGACGCACGTTCGATGCCCAATTTAATATCATGATGCCCTCAGAGTCTCACGTGACGGAACGAAAAGACGTCGTAGACCATGTCGTGTGAAAAGTTGAAGCGATTAACCGGGTTCCAAGTTTTTGTTTTGTTTTGTTGCCTTCATTATTTTTTTTCGCCATCGCATCTCCGTATTTTATTTTGCTACAAAAATGCGTACTCGGTTTTGTGATAAAAGGGATCACTCCGTTGCATCTGGCTGTCCTGAAACCAAATTCCAGGGCCCTCGTTGCCGAAATCCTGTTGAAGCCCGAGTTGGACACGAGACTGCGTTCGGGCGGGGACATGACCTCGTATGAGCAAGCCCGTGGAGCATGTGCGCTGTACAAACTTTTCGAAATGTCTGAACCCATGTTCAACCTATGATTTCTTCCCCTCCTTTTTTTTCTCTTTCCTGCTTGACAAAAGATTAAATTTTTGTTGGGAAAGAAGAATGAAGCAGCTTGATGAATTTTGGGAAGTAAGGAGCGTTTGTTGCAAGTGCTGATGGTGAGGTTGATTATTGTTCATGATATATGAGAAGAATTCGTTGTTTTTCATGTGCGCATTTGTTTCTGAACCTCGAGCTGAAAAAAAAAGAATTATTCTTGAGACATTTTTTAAAACTCGTTCGCTACCAGTAGCTACCGCGTTTCCCGCAAAATGTGGACTAAAAAAATGTATTCTCGAAAAAATGTTGACGCCACCTCAACATGCGAACTTCACAGAGGAATTTTTTTTAGAAGGAAAGAAAAATTTCAGAGTCACAATGTTTGTTCCATGTTCTCCATCCTTTGAATTTTTTACGGATACTTAGTTTGAGTGATACAATTGGTGTTGCATAATTAAGTCATTTTGATAGTCGTGGTGCGTAATTCATAGTGATTTTAGATTACTGAGAGGAAGGAGATTTACCTTGCACTTGCTGTGCATTATAAATTAAAATCCGCACGAACTTGTCTCAGTTTTTCTCGTCAGTTACGCATGGAGAGTAGAACTTTTGTATTCAAAATGATTTTACATTTTTGATGAGGTGATGATTTTTATTTTCAGAATTTGTGTGCTATGTGTATTTACCGACTTCGCTTTAAATAGAAGCATATTTTTAATCTTCAAAGATTTGTATTGGATTAAACGATTTTATTGAGGGTAATGATAGGTGGCGCTAAATTCACTCATAAGTATTTATGCGTATAAATTATTTTATCTACTCTCAATCGATCGTATGACCTAGTCTCTTTTTTTTGAAACGGTAGATAAAATTGAAGTTCCGGAAGCTTTTATCGACCATTGGTTCTTCAGAATTCCACCTTATGTTTCCTTCGATTTCTTCTCGAATACTTCCGGGGTAGATGAATGAATCTACAGTCAAGTACAGTATAAACTGGTAGTTGCGCGGTTTTTGATGCTTTCCACTCATTTTCCGATCAGAGATCAAGGGATGGATTCTCCCAATGATCAAGAGACCGTGATGGCTTCGTGATTCGCGTTTCCTTTATCTTGACGCGACTTACGACTGATCTTCTGGCGGGTGTTGTTGAGAAGCCCTTCTCGGAAAAATTTTCTTTCTTTTTGTCGACGGGAGACAAGTGCCTTTATTCCCAGTCGGGCCGAAAATAGTGTTTACACCGGTCAGTATTCCGGTAATTTGTTGATTTTGGGGGGAGGGGAACGGTAAAAATTCTATTGTTTTTTTTATGACACTTTTGAGGGCATGTAAGGGTAGGTTTGAAGTCAAATTTGAGAGTCTTCGTTGTTTCGGCGTCTGAGGAAATCCGCAAATGATTTGTACCCGTTTTCGGAAATGAATGGAAAGATTTTTCGTCTGAAAAAAAGTTATTGGTTCACTCATTCCCAACATGCGATATAAATTATATGAATTGCTGGAATACTCACAATTTCTGCGGACGTTGACAGGAAATTAACTTAGCTGTCCCGTGGTTGAATGATAATGACCCCTTCCCTTGGAGATAACATTTACAGTAGAATGTTTCACTCTTACGTCGGGAACTGAATTGTGTAGGGGAGCTCTTCAATTTAAAACCATTCCACGATTTATAATTCGAACTCTTCCTTCTGAAAAAGCCATTACGGTACATATTACTAAAAATATTTTTTTTGTCTGATATTTGTGTTGGTCAAACAACTGAGACCATGCTGTCATAGTGCGCTGACTGGTCTATTTACATTTCAGGTCACGAAAATCATTTATTTAATGGCTTTTAAATTAGCTGCTCGTCGTCAAACGTCGACAACCGAGTGTTAATTCACTTGTCAGCATGAGGATCTGTAAACCTAAACCATGCACGAATATGAAAATTTCAAAAGGAATACTTGCCCTGCTTATATGATTTAATTTTAAATCGTAAATTAATACTGGAATTTACGTTTAGTCCGCGAGAGTGACTATCTCACAATGACCTCGAAATGCATTACAGTACTATACAGTATATTCATTGAAGTCATACGTTGCATGCCGGTGAAACGTTAGTTGGCTTTTTTTTAACCTGCTTCGGATATATTCCGTATAATGACTAAAAAAATAAATTAAGGGTTTCCTAATGAACTTTACGACCGTTCGAAAGATTTGATGAAGAAAATGCTAAGGAAATGACCTTTCTCCGCGTGCATATACTCGTATGTAAGACCTCTTATTTTTCGTTAAATGACTTCGGATATTTTTATGTCTTCAGGTAAATTAGCCGTTAAATCTAAAATTTTGACCTCCGAAGGTCATCCGGAATGCAGCGACAGAACGTTGCATAATCAATGTTCTATTCTTTCAGAGAGCGGATGATGTGGAAGATTCATGCGAAGAACGAATAACATTCGTGGAGATATTTTATAGTTTGAGCACGTAAAGTTTCCTGCGGGATGCTGACGAAATATAACCTCATGCTGCCTCTTAAATCATCAGAAGAAGCTGAAAGAGGATATTCTTTACAGATTATTTAAGTAATGTACTGTACTGTATAATGGCCTAGGACTAAATACAGTACAGTACATGTACACTGAGCCGGATTCAAGCCTTTCTTGTCATCACAGCTAGATGTCACTAATAATACAAATGCGTCATCGCACTTGGTTCCCCCCCCCCCACCCCCCATGTGATTCTCCAATAAAAAGCATGAAACTCCGAGATTAACAGTTAAAAAAAAACCCCCATATACATACTGGATTAGCCTACACAAGAAAGTTGAACAAAGTCAAGATTTTTACGTGAAGTAACATTGTTTTCAGCTAAAACTAACTAAAAGTAAGACCACGAAAGCGGCGCCCGAAAAAATAAGGATATTGAAATTATTTTGATGCATCATCCTACTCAGTTCAATATCACAACAATTGGATTTTTCGCGAATGAAGGTCGCTGGGAGACAGAAATAAATGTCAATTCCACGCATTCATTCACAATACATTCCACATGCTCTTATCTCTGGATTTCATCTCGTATATTATTCATATGAGGATTTCTACAGTAGCATGCAGAGGGTTATATTTCGTTACGAAGTACAGTGATGTACAGTACAGTACAGTAGTTTATAATTCCAACAAAATAAAGAAGGGTATGCAGTTTCTGGCTCAAGGAATCCTCTCACAACTTATTCGCCGATTCTTAATTTAATTAAATGCAACTATGCATGCACCATCACATAAAATTTGAAACAAATATAAAATGCTGACCTTTCCACTGTGGAGTAGCATTGTTGACATCATATCTTAATCAGTTATGAAACATAATTCGCCGAGTAAGCATATTCAAACTGTTTTCTTTGTTTATTGAATAATCTTTCGTGAACCCTACTTTTCCGCGACTCAAGAATAGAATGCAAGCACATAGAAAAAATAATTTAAATTTTTTTTTAGAACCCAAGATTTAAAACGCACGAAAAATTCTTACTTTTCACAACAAGAAAGTATTTTGGACAGTAATACTGTACGGTACTTCAGCGTCAAAAATCTTCGAAGTATTGAATCTTTTATGAAACAGCTAAATTCTAAAAATTAAATAACTTCTTCGACCGTTTTTCTTCCCAGCGACAGTATTAGCACTTGAAATTGATGAATGTTTAAAAGGTCAAGTAATGTAGTCCCAACAGAGTGATTCTACAACGTTCAGGCCGACGTGAGAATGACTTTCGTGCAGCTAAGAAGATAGGTACAGTATAATAACTACAATTTGATGGATGAACGTAAAGTCATATAGTCGCATCATACAACATTTCAAGTCGAGAACACGTGGGTTAAATGAACGTGGAGTCCAGCACAAAAATCCATCACATCAGGAAGTCAACGCTGAAGAAAAAGGACCCCAGAAAAGAAGAGGGAAACTAATAACGCGGCGGAAAATGAGCTCCTTTCGTCCAGGAGACGCGAAAGTGACTCCGGATGAATTGCTTCCGGAAATCGACGGAACTCGGAAGACTTCTCGCCTTTCTCTCTCCCTCTTTCTCACCACCTAGGTGCCTGCATCGTCGCCGGGAGGGAACAGTTTCCTAACCTGGACAACTGGGAGACAAATCCAATTCCCCGGCACCCAAATGAACTCTGGGCCCCTTCGGGAGGCAAGACTAACTGGTCGCCACGGAAAAGCTGAGAATCGCACAGAGGAATTCGAAATTATTTTTTTTCAGGATCATCGCGCGGCATTTTTGAATTTGAATCCGTTGAAATACTGTATTGTTCTTTGGTTGCACTTTCATTTGACATAAGATCAGTTTTCATTCCTGATGAAATAGTGTCAAGTTTAATCTCGAAAAAAGTATTTCATGCGTAAATTGTCAAAGGTAACCAAATGCATTTTTCTCTTGAAAAAACTTATATTTCAAGCTCATTATTCGCTCTCAGTAGTGTACTTCACATATTTGGCGAAATATCCATTTCCTAAAGAACGAAGCAGGAACAATCCGTCAAAATTTTGGAGCCAACATTTTTATAAATCGGTTTCAAACGACGGATCATAAACGTATTAATTTAAGGGGAAAATATGGACACAGGGAAAAAGACCTTGAAGACAAAAAAAATATATTCAAATTGGCCAGGGAAATGCTCCGTTTCTCTTCTCAAGCGCTCAGTTGGACTTCGCAGCCAGTTGAGTGGCGACGAAATTGAAAAGATACCGGGGGTATCACACACAGTGGTCTCCGATCCCGAGCACAAAAAAAATTCTTACAATCGTTAGCATGCACACACTGGAGCTAACCAGAAAAAGGAGGAACAAACAAAAAAAGAGGTCATGGGTAGAGAAATCAAGTCACGTTCGACGATGGAGACCAGAACACTGATGGGGACCCCATCTCATGGATCGGGAAAGACAAAAACAACACTGGCCCATCGGCGCGTGTTGAGGGTTGCTTGAGTGACTTCAAACTTCCCCGTTTCTTTCATGATATTTATATTTATAGAAATAAAAATTGACCAACATGCTCATTACACTGTTCCTCTGAATGTTTCTTCAACCTCGTGTTTCATTTTGGATGCACGGATTTTACTAGATGACTTTCAAGATCCCTGACCGAAGTCCCAATTATTCTCACCCACGTTGAGAATTATGGAGGTGGAGAGCCGAAGGTGTGATTCATTTCCGGGCGAAAATACGAGTTGCCTAAGAGTAATTACTGCACATGTTTAATTAATTTGCAGGCAGCATTGTAGCTAATAAATGCTACAAATAATTTTAATTTTTCTTATTGTGCCCAAAACCAACCAGCAGTCACATTCTATCGATAAAATGGTTTTTATCTTGGGAAGTACAGTATTACGATATCATTAATGAATGCGAAGGGTTTCCTCGAATGTCAATTATTGACCGAGAAGGGGTTCAAATCAGATCTTCGGCGAAAGAAAATTCTTAGCAAATAAACAAGGATCACTGGAGGTTTTGTCACTGATCCCAATTACACAGTAATGTAATTTGAAGGATTCAACGTCATCAGGCAACATATTTGAAAAATCCCTCGGATATTAAAAATTGTTAATCAAAATGTCAACCTATTCAGGCATTATAGAGTAGAGTACTTTAAAGAAGTTTTACATTTTAAATGTTTTCATTTCGAAAAATCTTATAAAAGTCAACCGAATCTGAAGCTCACGGCAGGATTAGAAACTTGATGATGGAAAAAATATATGATTGATTTCGTTTGGAACAGCTTGACTTGTGAGAAAAACTTGCACACAAAAAAAAGCTGGGGTTCACTTTCTCAGTTTATTACTCGAAACTTCGGCGCCACGATTGAATTTTTGTCATCGTCGAATTAATCTATCACAATTAAATATTAAATCACTCCCGTGAAACGTATACATTTTCGGTTTTCCTTTCTCAGCACATCACCAAAATGGCCATACATAAGTCCGACCCTTCATTCGATTCAACTTCAGATATAAGACGAAATCAGCATCGATCAGATTATCCGGCAAATCGAGAAGCTTCATCAGAATGACTGAATATTTCGGTATGCGTGTCAGGAAAGTTCGTCAGTTCGTACTTGTCTTTCATATCGTGAAATGAGATTCACTGATTTCAAAATCAACAAATTTCTTTGGGAAAGTTGACCGAATTTGGTGTTCGTTCTGACTTTTGATGATGTCTCGCAACATGGGCATATTAACACACAAGCCTTTTTCACATGTTGTCCTATTCGAAAATATAAAAAAAATTCCATTTTCATGTTTCCAATCGAAACGTCCACGCCGTATTGAAAACTGTTTCCCCCTCCTCCCTCTTATTTGATTTCAACACCCAACTCAAAAATAAACAAAATATTTTCGATAAACGCAAAAACATTACTTCAATGTGGCCTGGATATTTCACCACTGGGCAAAGTAACAAATATTTCGG